TATAGTCCTGGTAGGAAAGCCGGATGGCAGCATTAGGTTCTGCAACGATTATAGGAAGCTAAATGAGATTTCCCTGTTCGACACCTACCCTATGCCCCGGGTAGATGAGCTAGTCGAGAGGCTGGGGCCGGCCCGGTTCATTTCCACACTGGACTTAACCAAAGGGTATTGGCAGGTACCACTCACGCCCCAAGCCAAAGAGAAGACTGCCTTCTCGACACCAGATGGCGCCTTCCAATATAGAGTCCTCCCATTTGGTCTTCATGGGGCCCCGACAACGTTCCAGAGACTTATGGACAAAGTACTCCGACCACACCAAGACTACGCAGCGGCATACCTGGACGATATTGTTGTCCATAGCACCTCATGGGAAAAGCATCTGCAGCACCTGGTCGCCGTTTTTCAGGCCTTACGAGAGGCGGGTCTAACAGCCAACCCTGCAAAGTGCTCACTCGCCTTGGAGGAGGCGAATTACCTTGGGTACGCCGTTGGACGAGGAAACGTGAAGCCCCAAGTGAAGAAGGTGGATGCCATAGCGACCTGGCCCCAACCCCAGACCAAACGTCAGGTGAGGACTTTTCTGGGTCTAGTGGGATACTACAGACAGTTTATTCCTAATTTTGCTTCTTTAGCAGCCCCCCTGCATGAGCTAACAAGCAAAGGCGCATCCAATGGGGTAAAGTGGACCGAACGGACTCAGCTGGCCTTCAATGCCTTGAAGAAAGCCCTATGTGGAGACACCATTCTACACGCCCCCGACTTCGGCAAAAGATTCGTACTGCAGACGGACGCATCAGAGGTAGGCCTTGGGGCAGTCTTGTCCCAAGTACAGAATGGAAGCGAATACCCCATAACCTTTGTCAGCCGCAAACTACTTCCCCATGAGAAGAATTACTCAACCGTGGAAAAGGAGTGTCTCGCCGTCAAATGGGCAGTCGGAAAACTGAGGTACTACTTGTTGGGTCGAGAGTTCATATTGGTTACGGACCATGCCCCATTGAAATGGATGGCCGTCAACAAAGATAAAAACGCCCGAATAACCCGTTGGTTTCTACATCTGCAGGACTTTAAGTTCACAGTGGAGCACAGAGCTGGCAGACTGCACGGGAACGCGGATGCCTTGTCCAGAAGGGACGACTGCCTGTGGACTGCCGCTCCCCACCGTGGTTCGGAGCTGAGGGGGGGGTGTGTATGTGAGGAAACTAACCCTTTGTATTCTCTCTCCTGCACCAGGAGGAATCCGCAGAAGCTCGGACGTCCCTGGCCACCCCGGTGAAGAACTTTTGAGTTATCGTTTTCTCACACTTATTTTTGTTGATAATAAACCTTGGTTAAATTCCACCGTAACCCTGCGTGTCGTCCGCCTCTCTTCTCCCCGGAGACCCCGTGGCATACCCCGTGAGGTCGGGCGCCCACAAAACAAGCAAAAAAAAAACACGAGTTTTTAGAAAGTAAATATATAAGCAGACCATATTTTTTGTATTCAGTTAAATACAGAATGTTGATAAAATGTGTCCATTAGTTATGAAGTTAAACTTAAAGAAAAACTTGACTTAGTATCAGGCTAAAATACTTACTTGTTGTCTTGGGCCCAAATATCTTACTCTATTGAAACTCAATGATTCCACAATATTGTTGACAACACCGATGTTTTTGGTTTCTGTATGGCAAGTTACTTGAACATTGGAAATTGAGCACCAAATATACAATCTAACTCAGGACTTTCAAGTAGAACTGACAAGAAAAACGCTAGACTCCAAGTAGAGTGTTATGAATTTTCATTCCAATGAGCTGGGTTCAGCATTGTTCCACACAAAGGAAACTTGATCCACGTGGAACAAAAGATTTGCTGACTAATGTTGTTATCCAATTGAAAAGCCCATCTGCCCATCCATTCATCAACTATACTGTAAATCCAAGTCTTGAACTTGGATTCCCACTACAGTAGATGAACAGGGGATGGGTCTTGAACTTGGAACCATTTAAATTAGCTTATGTATGTATGAATAATCACGGTGGTGTGGTGGTTAGCACTGTCGCCTCACAGCAAGAAGGTCTCGGGTTCGACTCCGCCCAGTGGCCTTTCTGTGTGGAGTCTGCATGTTCTCCCCGTGTCTGCTTGGGTTCTCCGGCTTCCTCCCAGAGTCCAAAGACATGCTCTGGGGATCAGGTTAATTGGGGACATCAAATTGCCCGTAGATGTGTGAATGTGAGTGTGAATGGATGTGTGTCTCTGTGTAGCCCTGCGATTGGCTGGCGACCAGTCCAGGGTGTACCCTGTCTATCGCCCGAAGTTGGCTGGGATGGACTCCAGCCCCCCCGCGACCCTGTGTGCAGGATAAGCGGTTTGACAATGGATGTATGAATAATCGTTAGAGCTACTAACTATTATGCAGCTAATAAGCTTTACACTGACTGCTAAACACATGAATAAATCAAAAGAATGTGTGCTGAGTGGGAACACAAGTCTGGGGCCAGACAGCAGTAGCTTGGCTTTAACAATACAAAGCCATATGCTCGCCTACAATGAAATGGGCTTTAATTTGCACATTTGAGCCCATGCAATCCTTAATCCCCACCATATTAACAGCACACATTGTAGAGATTTGGGGCCTGCATTAAGTCTACCGTATGCAAGCAGTTGGCGAAAAGTTACGTCCCGCAGTGTGTCCAGCTTGCATGGCAATCAGATGTTTACATTAAAGTCAAGGGTATTTAATTCAGTAGCCAACCATACGCCTGTTGAAATAGAATACATCCTAATGTGGGGTGGGACCTGGGACCATGTAACCATTTTGCTTGGAGTGAACACCCATCTCTCAAGTTTCCCCTGACCACATGTTCTGCACGTGTTGTGCCTGCAAGGAGAGTTATTTCTACAAAGATAAACCTTACAGAAGAGGACCTTGTTATTGTGACGTCAACCATTGTTTTTTGTACTACAATTATGAATCCTCGAGTTCTACAATTAGGGAACCGAAGTGACGATATTCAGAATGTACAAGGAGTGACAGAGTAGTAGCTTCAGTATGGAGCCAAATCCAGCTCAAACGTTTTTGAAAAACTGAAGTATGGTACATGTCAACATCATGCTGCCTTGAAGAAGAATTTTACTAGAGATCGAGGCCATACACTCATGTTTATAACATTTGATGAGGTAATACATTGAGAGAGAAGTAAGTTCCAGGAAGTGGGGGTGTTCCCAACCCAATCTTCAGGACAAAAAACTCATATGTACTATGAGTTATGAGTGACACTGGGGCTTCTCGGCACACTCACAAAAAACTCAAAATATGTACTATGAGTTTTTTGTAGCGCTCAACTCACAGTTACTTACAACTGTGAGCTGACAGCAGCAAACCGGTGAGCCAGTGACACTTTGGCTCCCTGGTGTATTTTTGTCTCGCTGCTTGCCCCCACCCCCATGGCCCAAAATGCAGCGACACCCCCTTATAAGTCTCATTCCAGGAAGTTGCGGCTTGTGTAACTGCTTTTTCTTTTTTCTCCTCCCAACGTCATCAAGATAAGTAGGAAACGCCAAGATGAAATGGTCAGAGATTAACATCTAGAGGTTTGTCTGCGTAGCAGTGGGAAGTGGACTTCAAAGCATAAATGAAAGAAAAAAGCCAAATCCTACTCACAATTCTAACAGTATTCAGTTCAGTTGGGATTCAGGGACACAGAAGAGTCTCAATGGGAGGGAATAAACCTACTAATCAAGATGAAAAAGGCTAACAAGCACGCTTATCAACTGGCTGTACAATGCACTGCAGGTTTGCCTTAAAGTTAAACAATTTGGTTACACCCCCCCATTCCCCCTGAAGAAAAAGTTTCAAAATGCACATTTAAATGGTAAATGGCCTGTACTTGTATAGCGCTTTTCTAGTCTTCTGACCACTCAAAGCGCTTTAACACTACATGACATCATTCACCCATTCACACCCATTCATAAACTGATGACAGGAGAACCATACACAGTGACACCTGCCATGAGTAACTACCATTCACACGCTGTAGTCGCAGCTACAGGAGCAATGTTGGGTTAAGTGTCTTGCCCAAGGACACAACGACATGCGGGTTAGCCGGGCCTGGGATTGAACCCACAACCCTCTGATTGGAGGACGACCGTGCTCCCCACTCACCCACAGTCGCCCCCATTTGCTCAGCAGCTGTAAGTAGACAACAAGCTTATTTTCCTGCAATAACCTCTGTTTAGAAGCAGCATTCAAGGATTTGCCCAAGTCTTCAACCTCTTCGCCCCTTATGCTGACCAAACTGCTTCTAACCAGCACTTGGAACTCAGCAAAAATAAGCTACTTGAAACAATGGCTTTTCCTGATGCCAATTTACCTCAAATTCATAATCCATGTAGAAGGAGCCATGCAAACTTGCTCGGTGTGTGTGTGCGTGTGTGTGACCAGGTGCCCAATTTCTATATCACACTAGTCTGACTAGGTTTCAGGTCCCCATGGTCGTGTATGGAGCCAAATCCAGGTGAAAAGTTCTGTTAATTTGAAAAACAAATGTGAACCTGAAAGTTTTGTTGTTGAGCCTGTCCACTGTGACACTGGGGCTTCTCGGCACACTCACCCCCTCTTCAGTGTCCTCCTTTCTACCAAAAGTTTAACTTGTTTGAGTAATCAATCGAGCTAAATATATTTTAATATTTGTATCTGATGTGTAAAAGTGATTCAAAGTAGCTCTTCAATGCATTGGTGGAACTTCATTACAGCAGGTTCACGTATGTTATTTGACTAATTTCCATCATAGATTACAACAGATTTGGAGCACCATTGCCGCTAAACCTTTGAGCCAGGCCTTGCACACGTCACCTGTTGCACCTCCACCGTCTATAGAGTTACAGCTGGGAGGATTAATATTTCAGAGGCACTTGAAATTCGCACCGCGTAACTAAATTAATCGTTTCCTTGGCGTCGTGAGACCAATGTCAGATATGAAGCATTTCAACATTCCCGATAGGCGCACAGTCGGATACTCACGCTCGGGGAGGAAAGTGCGGCTGTCAGCTGCTCACACCGGTGAGTCAACGGGGGAACGGGGGGGGGCGAATCGAGCAGCAGTTCCGCTGGAGTTCTCCGGGTTATATCCTCAGTGTCGTTAGTGGAGGTCCTAAACACTCACAGGTTAGTTAACGCGCTATTGCGGGCGCGGTGGTTCACTCCAGCGACCTGTTCCTCACATGATAGCCGCCGTGTGTCTCCTACCCCCCTCTCCCGGTGTAGATTAGCATCAAATCCCACCGCGCGTAGGGAGTACACTTCCGGTTGGTGTTTTTCTAGAATAAACCTTCCAGTAATGACTAGCCAAGTGGTGCAGTAGAACAGATAGGTAGGCGTTGCTGTCTATTCACCCGTAGGTCCATGCATCACACTGCATCAGGACTGACTATCAACTAAAAAATCATTTTAGCAACTAGTTCGTGAATATTACTGCAAGGCGGAAACATTTCTTCACATGCTATGTAGGGCCAGAAAATCAACATTTAATCGTTTAGATACCTGTTCAGAAAGGGTTTTCCAAACAGATGAGACACCCTTAAAAATAATTAATGTCTCATCATTATGAAGATTCGGATGACTGTGTAAATCAAGCTCCTCCAAATTCTCTACTAAAACATGAATAAAAAATAAAAGAATGTAATCACACCTTTATTTCGGTCCAATGTAAGTATAGTTTTTAAACACATTTTATTTTGAAAGTACATTTGCTTCATGTCCGCTACTGCTTGTTTGGGTAACTTGACACAGCCGGTGCCTGAATTAAGAAAAACTGCACATCCCATCGCTCCTTAAAAATCAGACATCGAAGCCATAGCGTCACCTTGTGCGTATTTTGATGGTTAAATCACTTTTCATGGGTCAGTATTAATGTCACAGACAAGTAGATACGAAATGTGTCAGTATAAATTTTCATACCAGGATTTGGAATAGAAATACATATTCTTGGTTGATGGCTTTTGTCACTGGGTTCCTCAGCCACATGTGGTGCCAGTGACGTGCAGTCACTGCCTACCTGCAAAAATTCAAACATAAAAATGTTTATTAAATAATTGTATTTAATAAACTTGTATTTGTATTTTTACTGTTCATTCTTAGAATTATAGATGCAATATGTGTGTTATTCCATTGTTTAGTTACAATGACAGGTGCAGTTTTACTGTCCATTCATTGCAGACAAGCGAAAAATCCATGTTGCGCATGTGCACTTCGATCCTGTATTCTACAACATATATGTCGAAGAGCACAACTCTGGAGTCTATCGCAGCCAACTTCGGGCGAGAGACTGGGTACACCCTGGATCGGTCGCCAGCCAATCGCAGGGCTAACACAGAGACATACAACCATTCACACTCACACACCTACGGGAAATTTAGAGTCCTCAACCTGATCCCCAGAGCATGTATTTTTGGGTGGATCATAGTTTTGACTGTTTCATTTTTTTTTTTTTATAAAATCTTTTTTTCTTTTTTTCATTCTTCACACCCCTCCCAGTTGATGCCCCGCCCCCTACGCCACATCAGGGTCAAAAGTCTGAATGTGAAAAAAAAGATTTGAATGCGAAAAACGATCTGAAAGTGAAAATATAAGATTTGAATCTGAAAACATAAAATCTGTAACCTAAAAATACATTACACCGAATATCCCAAAAAATATATAAGTGAAAAAAAAAAATGGGGGGGTTTTAAAAAATAGTGTTGTATTTTTCAATGTTCAACAACAAAGCTTTGAAGGTTGGTTCAGGTTGTTTTTCAAAAACGTTTGAGCTGGATTTGGCTCCATACCGAAGCTACTACTCTGTCACTTGTACATTCTGAATATCGTCACTTCGGTTCCCTAATTGTAGAACTCGAGGATTCATAATTGTAGTACAAAAACCAATGGTTGACGTCACAATGAAGTCACAATAACAAGGTCCTCTTTTGTAAGGTTTATCTTTGTAGAAATAACTCTCCTTGCAGGCATAACACGTGCAGAACATGTGGTCAGGGGAAACTTGAGAGATGGGTGTTCACTCCAAGCAAAATGGTTACATGGTCCCAGGTCCCACCCCACATTAGGATGTATTCTATTTCAACAGGCGTATGGTTGGCTACTGAATTCAATACCCTAGACTTTAATGTAAACATCTGATTGCCACGCAAGCTGGACACACTGCGGGACGTAACTTTTTGCCAACTGCTTGCATACGGTAGACTTAATGCAGGCCCCAAATCTCTACAATGTGTGCTGTTAATATGGTGGGGATTAAGGATTGCATGGGTTCAGATGTGCAAATTAAAGCCCATTTCATTGTAGGCGAGCATATGGCTTTGTATTGTTAAAGCCAAGTTACTGCTGTCTGGCCCCAGACTTGTGTTCCCACTTGGCACACATTGTTTTGATTTATTCATGTGTTTAGCAGTCAGTGTAAAGCTTATTAGCTGCACAACAGTTAGTAGCTCCAACGATTATTCATACATCCATTGTCAAACCGCTTATCCTGCACACAGGGTCGCGGGGGGGCTGGAGTCCATCCCAGCCAACTTCGGGCGATAGACATGGTACACCCTGGACTGGTCGCCAGCCAATCGCAGGGCTACACAGAGACACACAACCATTCACACTCACATTCACACATCTACGGGCAATTTAAAGTCCCCAATTAACCTGATCCCCAGAGCATGTCTTTGGACTGTGGGAGGAAGCCGGAGAACCCGGAGAGAACCCACACAGACACGGGGAGAACATGCAGACTCCACACAGAAAGGCTGTCCATCAAATTATATTTCTTATTATTCATGATTTTTTGTTCTTTTTGATTAAATGATTACACTCAAACATTACATTACTGTCACCGACACAACCTCAGGTAATGGATTTATTTATTTTAATACAGCCTGTACAGTACACTATAACGTCCTTTTACCATGTCCATACATCTAAAATCCCTTTCCAGTATGATGCACGTACAGCCACAGAGGCTGCACGACACCTCTTGTCCCTGATTTCAAGGGCCATACCTGAAGAACAGTGAAGCTTTCCAGCCAATTGTATTGGAAAAAGGTGCATTCATTCAATGCATCGAAAACTCTATGATGACCTCTGCTGTTGAAAACTTGTAGTGCAAATGTTTCGAATAGCCTACCAGTATATTTTGGACCTCTCTGTGGGTTGAACATTACATTACATGTCATTTAGCTGACGCTTTTATCCAAAGCGACTTACAGTAAGTGCATTCATATAGGGTACAAACTCAGTAGAACAAGAAAGCGCAATTTATGAAAAGTTGAACCAATAAATACATGGATTCCTATATGAATAAAACTATTGTTTTTCAGGTTTGAATTGTGTCCTTGTTTGTGCATTTCAATTCTCTGTACATTGGGAAAAAGTGGAACATGTATCTATGTGTCTTTCTGCACCTAATAGAAGAATATATATATATATATATATATATATATATATATACATTATATATATACATTATATATATTATATATAAATAAATATATATATATATATATAGTATAGAGTTATATGTAAGCAATATGATTTGAAATACCAGCAAGTGCTTTCTACTGCATGTGCAGATAATGGCAGTCATGGGGACTTATGTGAATTGTTTGAATGTGGGTAATTTACGGAGGAAAGGTCAGTGGGGTAGTGATTGTGCTTTTGGACAGGTTTCTTATGACAAGATATTGAGGTGCTTGTGGACACATGGGATGGGGCATGAAATTATTATTGATTTCCGTCAGCTGCTTTTGTTTGGCTGCAATTGTGTGCCGCAATATCTTGACCAAGGGTATTATTTTTGAACCAGACACGTGTTTCTCTGCAGAAAGCTTGACTGTTACTTCTTTGAGCGGGGTCAAAAGTGCAATGCACTGACTAATACTGGCGTACTGGTTTGAGGTGAGTAGTGACACATCTGTTTGCAGAGAGGCCAAGGCTGCACCCACTGGCTCTCTCTGCTCATAGAGCCTTTGCAGCATGTCCAGGGTGTTGAACAATCATGTTCACCAGTGCCTCGTCAATCTTGGCCTTCCTATCACCTACAATACAACAGGCCATGGATACATAATATTATTATATTATAATAATACTTTTTAATGAGTAAATGCTGGAATAAAATTAATGTATAAACATATTATGTATTTATAACATTAAGATTACATGTAGAAGGGACCTACTGAATTAGAGGAATTGTACCCACCATGGATGCTTGCTGCAGCTTGACCAGCCTCATGCTTGGAACGAAAGTGCCTCAGCATGGATGAGGGGTTATTGTTATAGGCCAATTGCTGATGGCAAACCAAACATTGGACCTGACAACAGAACATTTTTCACGAATAAAATAAAAGGCACATGTATAGTTTAACTACAAAACCCAAATAAAAATAAACATCCATAATTACACAATACAAATGACAGACTTGGCCTGCCTATTACAAACCTTGTTAGAGGAAATCAAATTTAAGTGCTCCCACATCTCGGAGCGACCTCTCTTTGCCACAGGTTCCATTGTAAATTTGCGCTTTGCTACTACTACTACTACAACAACACTGACTTTGACTGTATCAAACAGACCAGCCCGAACCCTGTTTCGCGCCCATTTGAATCAAATCGAAGCGGTCACGTGACTGTGCGCCGGAACGAAGCTTCGGACGTCACTGATGACGTCACTGTGAGCCGGACCGAAGCTTCGGACGTCACTGATCACGTGATCAGCAGCGAACGAACCAAGCACCGATACATTTGCTTCGCCCTGCACTGGTTCATATTTCGACACAAGCTTCGAAGCAGGAGGGTCGGAGGTAACAACACTAGTTATCACTGGTTTGCACTTTCAAAGAAGAAGAATAAAAATGCACCAACTCTACCTACGACTACGCCATCGTTTTGTGAGATTCAGCAAGGACTGAGAGGGAACCCGTCACATATGGTGTCAGAAGTGGGATGGCTAGTCGGAGGAGGGCAGGTCGGCTTCCCAGACCACGCAGAGCTGGTCTGCGGTCTCAGCCAGTGGCATTTCGGGAAGAGGACGAGTTGGCGTCAAAAACAGACAAACAGACTGCATGGGAGACCGCAAATTCAACGTCTTCCTCAGCGGAGGAAGAGAAACGACAGCGGCCCACACCTGGCTCGTTCAGCGGCTCAGGAGGAGACCTGGTGTCCATAATGAATGACTTTCTGACAGCACAACAGCGAAGAGAAGAGGGCCTGCTGGAGGAACCACGTAGCCTCCGAGTGTCTCTGCAACCAGCAGCTCAACCCCTGC